AAAAAAAAAAAAAAAAAAAATAGGTTAAGTGACTTGTCAGAAGCTACAGAGCCTAGTTAGTGGAAAGACTGGGACTAAAATTAAAGGTTTCTGTTTTATCATCTGCTTTTCCAGATTGTTTTGTGTCCCTTGTAAACCCTGGATAAATCCTGCTGTGGTCTGTTGAGAGTTATTCTTGGAGTGTGTGTGTGTGTGTGTGTGCATGCGTGTGTGCGCGCGCGCCTCTTAGTCACCAAATTTCATAAATAGAGATAGTTTTGAACATCATAAGATGTTTATCTATGACAGTTCGACATTCTTTTTTCACAAATATAACCAACTAAGCTTAGGACAGTTTCTTCAGCTTCAATAAATTAGGAATTATAGGAAAGTGTCATAGTATTAGATAGGAATTTGCATCTGAGTAATTAATACATGTGAGTAGAATTGCTTTCTTGATGTGGAAGCTAGAGATTGAGCCAAAGAAAATGAGATTTCCTTATGATCAGGTGTCATGGCCCCTGTAGCCCTACTATTAAGTCTTAACCACCTTCCATTTAGACAGCCTACATAGGGCAGAATCCTGCTCATGTTACTACAATGTCCATCAGTATAAATGAGTTAATCACATTCTAGAAAGAGGCAATGTATCTTTTTGGCTACTAATATTTTCTCTTCATTTCAGCAACTATAGAAAACTTTCATGTGGTGGAAACATTAGCTGATAATGCAATCATCATTTATCAAACGCACAAGGTAAAGATCTCTTCATCCCAAAAGGATTTCACCCTAATTCAAACTGAGACATAGAAATTCTCTCGAGTAAAATTTGGCAGGAAGTTAAATGCCATAAAAGATCCACAGACTTTATTAATGATGCATGAATGTCACATATTTGAAAGGATATCAGCTCCTTTAAAGCAGAACCCGAGACAACCTGAGAAATAACCCAGGAACAGTGTGTTTGATAAAGACCTCCAGTTAGTTATGTGCACTTAAAGTTTAGAAAAGAAAATACTGAAACCCAAGTAAATATTTTTCTAGCATCTAGTCTTTATAGGAGAGAAGTCATAGTTACCACCTACAAAAGAGAATCATAGGAGTGCCTGGGTGGCTCAGTTGGTTAATAAGCTTCTGAGTCTTCATTTGGGCTCAGGTCATGTTCTCACAGTTTGTGGGTTCAAGCCCCATTTCAGGCTTCACACTGGCACCACAGAACCTGCTTGGGATTCTGTCTCTGCCCCTCCCCTGCTGATGCACACACACACTCTCTCTAAATAAATAAATCTTTCTCTCTAAATAAATAAGTAAACATTTAAAACAGTGAATCATAGTTTCCTCTGGCAACAATGTTAAGTGGAATGGAAATTAGTTATTAATGTATGTTAAGATTGATAAGAAAGTCATGTAAGTAGATCATCTGAAAGCAAAGGAAAATTGCCATGCATAACTATTAAGAAGTTGGTCATACACCAGAGCACACAGAAACATTGTCCTAAATTGGTTCACTTTCATACTGCTTTCATTTCACATTCATTTCATTTCTTCCTGTGCTATCCTAGGTATTTAAATTTTAAGAATTAGGGGCTCCTAGGTGGCTCTGTCATGTCAGTTAAGCATCCGACTTTGGTTTCAGCTCAGGTCATGATCGCACATTACATTAGATGTAGCCCCACATCAGGTTCTGTGCTAACAGTGTGGAGCCTGCTTGGGTTTCTCTCTTGCTCCTCTCTCTGTTTCTGCCCCTCCCCTGCTTATTCTCCTTCCCTCTCTTTCTTTCTCAAACTTTAAAAAAAATTAAAGAGTATTTCCCTTACCTGATTCTACTCTGTTCCCTGAAAATTGCCAAATAATATATTGTATAAAGGATAATAAAAGGGGTGGGGAGGATGGGCAAAATAAATGAAGGCAATTAAGAGGAACAAACTTCCAGTTATAAAAAAAGTAAGTCAGCATGGGGAATGTAGCTAATAATATTGTAATAGCGTCATGGTAACAGATGGTGACTACACGTATTGTGGTGAGCACTGGATACCGTATAAAATTGTCAGATCAGTGTGTTTTACACCTGAGACTCACATTCATTTTAAAGAAAGGAAAATAAAGGAATTATAATTTTGGAAAGATCCATCAAATGTGATATTGTATGTTATATAAGAAATACAATAATTCAACAGGTACTTTATTTTTCTTTACTTTAAATGACTTTTTAATTTGAGCTGAATATATGAAAATATTTTAGGTTTGTTATGTATTTCTTAAACTCAGTTTTGTCATATGAGGCATCTCCTATGTAATGAGAGTGAGCTAGGCTTGATTTTACATGGCACCTGCTCAAGAAATGTATAATAAGTACATTATATGTCAACTTCGCTTCAATTAAAAAAGAAGTGTAACAATGAAGATTCTTCTTTAATATACAGATTTGGGGAGTCTAAGTGACACCTAAAACTTAGCAGATGTTAAAAAAATCAATTAATTGTCAATAATGTGGAATGAAGAGAAATGACCAGTAATTTAGAATCAGAAGAATCTTGTAATCTGAAGGTAATTGATCCTTGAAAACAGTCTGCTGAAAGTATTTCACTTGGTAAATCATAGGTGGAGCGAAGAATTTATATAGGTTATATTAAGGTCACTTGAAAAATAAAACTAAAAACTATTAAAATAATACCTCTTAAATTTAACACAATTTAAATTACAGTTATAATTGAATAAACAGATTGTTCTAGCATAATTTTTTTCAAAAAAATTCAATAATGCTCTGCAACATCTTGCCCTTTACATTTGGCTTCTTTTATAATCTGGTTTCTTATTTTATTTTATTTTTTTTTAATGTTTATTTTTGAGACAGAGAGAGACAGAGCATGAATGGGGGAGGGGCAGAGAGAGAGGGAGACACAGAATCGGAAACAGGCTCCAGGCTCTGAGCCATCAGCCCAGAGCCTGACGCGGGGCTCGAACTCACGAACCGTGAGATCGTGACCTGAGCTGGAGTTGGGCACTCAACCGACTGAGCCACCCAGGCGCCCCTATAATCTGGTTTCTTAAAGAGGGCTACTTATCTCCTGATATTTAAGTCATCCTCACTCTGTAAATTTTTATCTTCTCATCATCCTTGTGGATTTGCATTCATTCGTTCAAACATGGCCCAATTTTCCTTTATTATTGGCTTTGCTCAACACTACTTTCATCGATTTCATAAAATGTAGCATCTTTAAAAGATAACCATTTTACTTTCCAATGAAACTCAACGCTTAAGAAAGTCAGTGCACAGATTGTCTCTTATTTAAAAGTACATAGTCTCAGTTTCCAGAGACCTCATTTCCATATCATTCCAACGTGTTTTATGTTTCCTGGCATACTGTAAAGTTGAAAGATTCAGTCTGATTTGGTATTCTTCAAATGTGCTTATATCAAAGAAGCAGTCTTCTTACTAAAATCTTAGCTTTTAAGTCTCTGAACACTTTAAACAGAGGTTTAATACTAAAAAGCAGAACATTACCAAGGACTAGGGAAGGAATTAATTGCTTACTGAGTATAGAGTTTCTGTTCAGGGTGATAAAAAATTTTGGACATTGTGCTGATGTTTACATAATATTGTGAATGTAATGTCATTGAATTGTACACTTAAAAATGCTTTAAATGGCAACAATTTTTGTTATATATATCCACAATTTTAAAAAAATTACTTTGATGATATTCTGCAAAGCAGTTAATTCACTGTTCATAATTAATCCTTTGCTGGGTATTTTCAGATGCTTTCCATTTAAAATTTGACAGATTGTACCTTCACCTAAGATACTTATTTTTGTTTTATTTATTTTTGTTTAACATTTGTGTCTCTGTTAGTTCCGTATTACATATGAATTTAAAAGTAATTCGGCTTTTCAAAAGATATTTACTTCTTCCACAGAGGGTGTGGCCTGCTTCTCAGCGAGATGTATTATATCTCTCTGCCATTAGAAAGATACCAGCCTTGACTGAAAATGACCCCGAAACTTGGATAGTGTGTAATTTTTCTGTGGATCACGACAGTGCTCCAGTAAGTGCACTTGTATAAATGTGTATAGTTGTATAGTATAAAGCTAAATATACAGTGTGGGACAAAAGTGACAAACACATATGACACACACTGGTACTTGATTTGATAACGTTTCTTAGATTTTGTTTTATATTGGATTGGCTCCTTGGAACACTATAGCCCTTGTGTGACTTGAGGGCAGTAGTCATGGCTGTGAACATGTAGCAGGGGCTGTTTTCCTTTCCCCCTGATGTTAAAACGCGGAGACAGAACTGAATGGGTACATAAGTGAAGCTACTTTCTACAAGCTTCCCTCTCAAGCCATGATCAGCTACTGGCAAAACCCCTGTGGTTTCTATCTCAGTTGAGTTCCATCTACTACTGAAGAGGAGGGAAAATCATTCCTGATGTCATGCAGCTTGGCATGTGTTATTTAGTGGTGCTAATAAGATTTTGTTGGACATTTTGATGAGCTTTGGTTTTGGATAACCTAATGTGCTATTAGAACAATAGGGATTATAAAATACAAGGCATCTATTACACTGGTGTTTTGTTTTTATTTTTTGTTTTGGCAGCTAAACAATCGATGCGTCCGTGCCAAAATAAATATTGCTATGATTTGTCAAACCTTGGTAAGCCCACCAGAGGGAAACCAGGAGATCAGCAGGGACAACATTCTATGCAAGATTACGTATGTAGCTAATGGTATGTGTTTTGAGGTTTCTTTTGATACTTTGGTAATGTAGATTTTCTTTTTTTTTTTAAGTTTATTATTTTTAGTAATTTCTACACCCAGTTTGGGGCTTGAACTCAGGACCCCAAGATCAAAAGTCGCACGTTCTTCTGACTACACCAGCCAACACCCCTAGATTTCTTATTATGATCTCCATGCCTTTTTAGTTTTTCTCCTTTAGATTAATGATTTTTAATTTGGAGTGATGTGTACCAAAATTATCAGGAAACTTTGAAAATATCCACATCTGAATTTCATCCCAGAACTACTGTATCAGAATTTAAACTTCATCTCTAGATCACTATCACATATGCTTGGTTTAAAAATCCATCTATTATATATTTGCCTAATAGAATATATGTATGATTAGAAATAAAAGCAATAATGGTAAAGAAAATTAATAGTTCTTTTTCTTATTGTCAGGCTTTTTTGTATTCTGAATTATTGCCTGCTTTGGATTCTTAACTACACCCATTTCCTACTTGCAGTAGTCACTGGAATCCCTCCCATCAAATCCTCAAATCTTCTTTGTACAGGGCTGTAACTGCTACTGTGTTTGAAGAGACAGTTATGTCCGAGTGATATTGTTTGATTATAGTAGAGTTTGACAAATTTATCTTACATAACCTGAAATGTTGCTATATTAATATTTGCATTTAATTTAGGGAGCCAAGAACGTATTAAATAGGTAATAAATGCTCTCTTGTTTGCTATGTGTCCTTGTCTGGTGGTTAGCATTAAGGAATTAGCAGTCAGGACTTTAAGAGATGTTAACTGTTCCAACACGAGAAAATTTTGAAAGCAAAGGAAGTAAATGAGTGCTTCCCATACATTTGGAGAATTGTATCTTAACGGGCTTTATTTTAATTTTCCTTTATCTTGCAGTGAACCCTGGAGGATGGGCACCAGCCTCAGTGTTAAGGGCAGTGGCAAAGCGAGAGTATCCAAAGTTTCTAAAACGCTTTACTTCTTATGTCCAAGAAAAAACTGCAGGAAAACCTATTTTGTTCTAGTATTAACAGGTACTGGAAGATATATATTACCCTTTTTTTAAAACTTTGATTAATATGACTCTGCAGATATTAAAATTTAGTTAATTGTTGAAAGTGATTTTAATGTGTTTTACAATGTTCCCAAAGGTGTAATTTTTAAAGCCTTTAAAACTTGTTTTCTTCTGCTTATATGAGACAATGTTTGCTTATGCAAAGACATTTTAACATTATAGAGCTATAAAATTCTAGAAGTACAAATTCCCTGTATTCTTCCCTTCCCAGAAAGTACTTGAGGTTCATTGTTAATTCTTCCATACTTTTGTATGTATGTAGTGAATGATGTGTATTCTTGAGTATTTGTTAATAATACTTGTTTATTCTATACTTCTTGTTTTGCAGCTTGCTTTTTCTCTTTAACAATATATCTTGACTAGTACTGCATATAAAGACATGAGATATATAAAACTATCTTATTCCATAAACAACTGTTACATGAATGTTGCAGAATTTATTAACCAGTCCCATCATAATGTTGGTTCCATATTTTGACTGTCAGATAATGCTGTGTTGAACATCTTTCCATAAAGTGCTGGAATCTTTAATTCTTTTTCAAGAAATGATATGTTAACGTGGTTCAAAAGTCAGGTGTGAAAAGATGAACAGTGAAATTTATCCCTTGCCCCTGCTCACCCAGTTTTGCCTTTCCCCCACCCCCAAACTGAAAGAGTATAAGTGCTATTTGTATGTCTTTTCCAGAGAATTTTTTTTTAATTTTTTTTCACGTTTATTTATTTTTGAGACAGCAAGAGACAGAGCATGAACAGGGGAGGGGCAGAGAGAGAGGGAGACACAGAATCGGAAGCAGGCTCCAGGCTCTGAGCTGTCACCACAGAGCCCGACGCGGGGCTCGAACTCACGGGCCACGAGATCATGACCTGAGCCATAGTCAGACACTTAACCGACTGAGCCACCCAGGCGCCCCTCCAGAGAATTTTTTATGCCTGAGCAAGCAAATACAAGTGTATGTCTCCCACACTTACACCTTTTTGTTGTTGTTGAAGAAAATACATTGTTCTGCATCTTGTCTTTGCGCTTACTTTACTTTGAAGGTCTTTGCATATCAGTATGGACCTTCCTCATTATTTTTTTGTGGCTATACAGTATCCCATTGCATGGATATACATAATTTTCTAACCAGTCCTCCCTTGCTAGATACTCAAGTTGTTTCCAATTTTTGCTGGAACGGTGTTACAAGTATATCCACTTATAAGTTTATATGTGGGATAAATTGCTAGATATGACACTGCCAGCACTTCCAGGGGTGGGGGATTGTGCGTTTTTATTTTAGATATTGCCCATAAAGAAGTTGTGTTAATTTATCATCTCACCAGCAATAATGTATTGGAGTGCCTATTTCCCTTTACCCTCTCACACAGTGTATGAAATAAAACTTGGATTATTCCCACCTTGATAGGAAAGAAATACTTTCTCTATAGTTTTTATTGTCTTTCTCTTACTATGAATAGTTTGAACATTTCTTGGTCCATTTGAGAGAAATTTGTATAATTCTGTTTCTGTGAACTCTCAGTATGTGTTAACATTTAAATTTTTAATAGATATTACCAAAGTATAATTCATAAACTGCAGTATTTATGAATGTTCTCTTATTCTCACCTATGTTAGATATTAAATCATTGGCTGAGAAGTTTATATTCTTTTTTTTTTTTTTTTAACGTTTATTTATTTTTGAGACAGAGAGAGACAGAGCATGAACGGGGGAGGGTCAGAGAGAGAGGGAGACACAGAATCTGAAACAGGCTCCAGGCTCTGAGCTGTCAGCACAGAGCCCGACGCGGGGCTCGAACTCACGGACCGTGAAATCATGACCTGAGCCGAAGTCGGACGCTTAACCGACTGAGCCACCCAGGCGCCCCGAGAAGTTTATATTCTTGAGTAATTTAGATTATTGTATTCTTGAGTCTTTAGATTAAATTAGTATGTTCAATAGTATTATATAATGACTGATATTTTTAACTAATTCTGGTTTCTGATGTTGTTTATAGTATGCCTCTCTTAAAAAAAAAAAAAAAGGCTAAATTTATTGTCAGATGCTAACAACAGAGTTGTTGCATTGATGTCCCAGATATTTAGCCTTTCCTAAGAAAAAGCTTACCTGAAAATGTTAAACAGATTCTAATCTTACCTGAATGGTTAGTGTTTTGGGATATAGCTTGACCTTTGAGAGATTCTGTCTTCAAGTGCAAGTGCATTGCATAAGTGTACTGGCTTTTGGAATATCTCATACTTTAGGATTGTTATGGCTAGATCTAGACACAAATTTGCTGATTTTATCTTTGCCCTGTTACCTCAAATTAACCAGAAACGTGATGCTGTGTCATGGCAGCAGGCCATGTCACCTGACTTAGCTGGTTGTCTCTCCCCACAGCCTTAAGATTTCTAAAGAATGCTATTTGCTCTAATCAAGACCAAGTGTGCAGCTATAATCTGCTTTCTCTCTTCATCTCTACCCCCAGCCTTGCTAAAATGAGCAGGGCAGAAAATATAACCATCTATTAAGGAAAAGAAATCAGAATGCAGTCATGTATAGAACTTGCTCTCACCTATGTTTGAAAAGAAGAATTTTCTTAAGCATTTGTAAAATACATGCTAACATTATTAACAGCATTTTGCCTCAGAACTGTTGGATTTAGGGCATTGTTTATTGACTGTGTGCATGTGTCTGTGTGAGTCTGTGTCTGTGTCTGTGTGTGCACACAGTACCTAGCAGGGAGGGGGTTGAAATCCATCTCAGAGGAAGGAGGTAGCATTGTTTGTGGATGTATGTGTATGTATGCAAAGACAGAACTATGAAGATTCAGTGGCCACAGCTTAGCTCTGGCCTTGAGTCCAGGTTGAGCTTCTTTCTGACAAAGCACCAAATTCAAACCTTAACACCATAGTGAAAATCTTTGTTTACCTAAAGTAATATTTGTTTCATAATAAGTTTGGACAGATGTATGTATGAAGTGGATTCTAGCATTGAAATTTTAGGAAAGCTATCCTAATTTTAGTGATGAAGAAATTATAACTTCCAATAGTGTTTATGATCTTTAGTGAAATTTCATAAAGAATTAATGAGGTCCAAAGATAGTTAAAACTCATAGTCAATTCTTGATAACTGGTATTTTATAGCATAATTTTTATTGAAGACTAAGAAGAAGGAAATGCTGGTTTTGGGGGTGTAAACCCAGAGAATTCTGGTTGATTCCCTCTTTGCTTATCTATGGTATATTTCCCTTCTTTTTTGAGTTTTCAAAACGTTCCTTCTGTTCCTTGCTGATCAGTTTCAAATATGTAAGGTTTACAATTTTAACATTTTTAACGGTGAAAATCTATAAAGCATAAATATTTAATAGAGATCTGTGTATTCCATGAATTCACAGGGTAGGAGGAATCTGTTCTGGTAGTCTTGCCACTCTCAGTAATAATGTATTTCTTAATTGTTTACTTATTTTCTTTCCTGCAGTGACTGAAGCAAGGCTGTGTGACATTCCATGTTGGAGGAAAAAAATAAAAAACAAAATTGAATGCTCTAAGCTGGAACGTAGGATCTATAGCCTTGTCTGTGGCCCAACACCCTGGCCTTGTGTACAAAAATGAAGAAATATTGCAATAGCAAAGGTGAACATCTAACACTAGCTGTCTCCTGCTAGATCTCCTCGCTCAGCATATAACTATAAATACATGTAAAATTACATGTATATGGCTATATTTTTATTTGCTTGCTCCTAGAAGAGAAAAAAAGAAAATCAACTTTGAATCACAACTAGGAATTGATGCTTTAATTTTTGGAAACTTTTTCAGAATTTTTAATTTACTATGGTCCGGCCTAAGATCCTCATTTGTATCAGGTTTTGTGCACAAAAGAAAAGCACAAAAGTTGAATGCACATGGGGCATGTGCTTTCTGTGCACCAAATATCTGGATGGGGTTCTTTTTTCAGGCCTATGGTTAAATCTGTGTTCAGAATTTTTTGACTTTTTTGCTTTGTATAATCATAGAATTCATTGCTGCTGATTTCTATAATGATTCATGTTACGTAAAGTGTCTCTTAATAACTGAGGGCTGTCAAATAACCTGTGATTTCACCTTTTCTATAGTCTTACTCCTATGAAGAACCTTGGTTCTGATGGAGAAAGAGTGAAAAGCTTTATTTTTTCCCCCAGGTATCTTTATATTTCTATTGTATTTTTAGTTGTGTAATGTGTGCTACAGATTTTTTTCAGTTTGTTTACAAACACAATTTGGTAATTCCTAAATTGGTTCTGTCTGCCTCCAAATGGAAACAGAAATCTTGTGGGTATAAACTACTTTTTGGTACACTGGTAAGGATAAAATGAGCTCATATTTTCTCAAAATTTGTAAGAGGATATATGGTATTTCTTGTTAAGGTAAATCAGGCTGTTGGGGTTTGACACTTGATTCAGTATTTCTGGTGTTCGTAACAGGCATGTTTGTCAGTTCTTCTAATTTGGCTCAGTTTAAAAGATATGTTGCAGGATATGCATATAAAATGTGAGCAGTGCTCCGGTTTGCCTCTTGATCAGAATTTGCAGCAGAGCAGTAAAGGATTCCATGTGATTCAAACTGAAATTCTTTCCTTACTTGCTGTAAGAGCTTAAATGTAAAATACCTTCTTTAGTTTTAGGCCTCTGTGAAAAACCTTGAAGCATGGAGTTGAGGCAAGGAATGGTACTCACTGAAGTAGAAATGACTGCCCACTTCAAAATATTCATTGTGTTTATACACAAATGTGCTTACATATGTCAGAGGCATTTTGTAGATGCTATGCTGACTTGTTCATCTCTGTAGAAACACAGAAATCAGACCCATTTTGTAAAGCAGAAAGTCATGTCACTTGGAACATGTCCTGTATATATTTCATACATGGTAATGGAGTCTTTATGATAAATGCAAGGTGATAATTTAATGATGGGATTAGTCTGATCACTTAATATGCA